ATTGCATCATTTTAGCAACCACACCCCTCCACCGCGCCTCCGCACGGCCAAAACTTTCCGCACCTAGGAAAATTTCTAACCACGCGGACGGTCGGACGCGGAAAAACATGGCGGACTGGCAAGAACTAGTATGGCAGAGGTTCGTAAAAACAGACATTTGTATGATTCAGCTCTCAAAGATCACAGTGATCAACATGTTGTTAGTAATTCTTGGAGAGAAATAGCTCACACTGTCGGAAAAGACGAGGGTACTGTTAAAAAATGCTGGAATGCCGTGTTGTAAACAACAGTAATTTCTACTTCTACTACGGTTTAGTGTTGGATGCATGCCATAGAGCTCCATGCTGCCCCCTACAGAGGATCTTTCATGGATGAACTATCAAGGAGTCGGAGTACCCGATCCGGAGGGTTACCGGGGTCCCACCCTGGAGCCAGGCCTGGGGTTGGGGCCCGTGAGCGAGCGGCTGGTGGCCGGGCTTTCGCCCTTGGGGTCCGGCCAGGCCCAGCCCGAACATCAGAAGAATCTCTAGAATTATAAATACATCAGACATAAGATTCTATAGCAAATATGAAATCAACCTTATGGATCTGTGGGTACTGTTTAACCAGAAGATTGGAACTTTTTATTGCGGGGATTAGATAACAGCTTCGTATTCACTCAGAGACAACAGAAGAGAGAGTCAAGTTTAAAAGTTTAAAGTTTTATTACTAAACCAATTAAGACTAGACTAACTTTAACACTAAATGTATGGTGTAACTAAGTGAATGAGACGGAGAATGGTGTGATGTGGAATGTTGCTCAGAACCAGCAAATCCAAAGAAGCGATTAGTTCTGATGGGAATTGAAGGTGATGTCTTCGCACTAAGCTTTGGTTAGGAGATTCATAAACACATTCAACGCCATTCTGTCTGCCTACATACCCTTTTGGAAGTCCCTGTTAGATCAGGAATGTCGAGGTCCAGCTTGACCTCTCTGGAACCGAAGCCGGTAGGAAAAGCAGCAGTTGCCGACCAGACCAGTCTGTGAGATACTTCCGGGTCACGACGATTTTGTTGGCATCTAGTGAGACCCAAACTTGGGTCGTGATGGTTCAGCTTTTATTCTGAAAGGAACTGTTGCAGCAGTTGGAACAGCAACAGATTTTATCCAGCTTGTCGTTGGTTCTTTTGGCTGAAGAGGAAAGTTACGGATTGGCCACTCCGACACTTCTCTAGAACGCTTTGAACTGGCGTTAAAGATGACGTGGCATAGTTTTATACTTCGGATGTTTTGGTTTATGGTCGAATGAAAAGGTGACAGATTTACCAAACACCACCAAAACCACGCCTCCGTCAGATCTGGCAGATTCTGATTGGATCAGTAAAAGCAATGTGTCATGTCTTTTAACGCTACGTGAGATCAGTCCTAGTGGAACATTTAAAGTCATATTACTCATCATATTCTATAGGATTATAATAAAGTAATTAATATTTTGATTTCACAGATTGGTCACATCTTATTTATTGACTAACACTTTGTTTGATTAGCTTTATTAAAATAGAGTTCTTTGAGTTATTAAAAGGAGAGAGTCCTTTCTTCATTCTTCTGTTGAGCTGGAAAGAAGCAGTTTAGAGCAAATGCATGAGACCTTGAGGCCATATCTCATGCAGACTAGTTCTGTGTCAGAGGAGAGGGGGGAAATGACTTTTGGTGGAAAACAGTCATTTCATTCCATTACAGCTTTGCCCATTCCTTCTCCACTGGTCCCAGGGACAGGGACGTGACCTTGAGCGGAGGTCGCTGGAGGGTTTTCATTCTGTGCACTCTGCTGCTCCTGAAATTGTTGATGTTTCATGGCCTCCTTCTGCTACTTGTTGCTGATTTGTTGTGGAGCTGGTGGTGAGAGATAGCTGATAGCCAGGGGTTCTTCTGGGGATAAATCTGGGTGTCATGGGCCGGCGGTACCTGGGTCGGACTTTGTTGTCCAGGAGTCCAGAAGATGTGGAGCATCTCCAGCAGCATCCTGTCTCTGACATTGCCTATTGCTGGTGATGGCAGATGGCTCTTCATCAGAAGAATCTCTAAAATTATAAATACATCAGATTTGATAAAACATACTCAAGTGGTAAATACTAGAAATGAAAACTGTAAAAAAAATTAAAAATACAGAAGTAAAGCTAGAAATATGTTTGAACTGTAGATAAACTTACTGCAGCTGTGATGGCAAATAATCTTCATCCACACCTGAACCCTCACCACAGATGTACATGGACCTTTTGTTTTCCTGGAAGTAGCAGTAATAGTATATAATAGTAAAGTAATAGTATTAGCAGAAATTCTAGACAATAGAAACTGGAACGGGTTTAGTACAGAGACACTTACTGCATTTGGGATGGAAAAACAATGTGGGCACATCTTGCTCCTCATCAACAACTTTTAAGGGAAGTTTCCTCTTTCTAGAAGGTTTCCTGGTTTCTGGTTTATTTACAAAAACAAATCTAACGTATAAAATAATACAAAGCCTGAGTGAAAAACGCAGCTGAAAAAATGCAAAACTACGGGTGACCGAACGAGTACAAAAACGGCAAAACAATGTCAAATATGACTAAATATAATCTAAAATTACTAAATAAAAACATAAAGTAGGAAATTTACTGAAAATAATTATTGTTTACACCAGTAGAAGAGATAGAAGTTGAAAATACACGTCCAAAACAATTCCTCCACTCCTCTAAGCACGGCACATGGCAGACTGTTTAATTCCTGGTTCTCGGGCAGGGACGTGCGTAACATTACCGTAATGTATCGTATACCACTGGAAAGTACATCGTCTCCGCTTTCAGAATATGTTGATAGTGCAAACTGTCGAAGAGTTACGGTAAAGTATGAAAGCCAGTTTTTGTCGCCATCGACACAACCGCAGCAGCTCTGGGTGCCCCTAGTGGCTTGGGGGCCCTTTGCAGCAGCATAGGTTGCACATAGGAGGAAACGGCCATGCATTCCAGAGTGATGAGAGGAGGCAGACATACAGGAAGAACCTTCCACCACCGCCGCGGCCCGACCCCCGTGGTTTTCAGGTGTAAACAAACCCGGCAGGAGTACAGTCATTGAGCTGTGAGAAATCACCGGGCTGTTGCCAAGTCTCGGTTAAACAAAGAAGGTCTAGCTTACCATACCATACCATGTTTATTTATATAGCACATTTAAAGACAGCATGACAGCTGACCAAAGTGCTGTACAGTAAAAAGGACAAACCCCAAGATAAAAACAGATAAAAGTCATATACGAGGTAAGAGGTCAAATCTAAAAAATTGTAAAAGAAACATACAAGAATAAAATACAGAGTCACAATAAAACGTAAAAACACTACAAGCTAGGTCATTGAATAAAAGCTCAGTGATAGAAGAAGGCCTTCAGTACCGACTTAAATCGACCCAGTTCTGGGGCCTGTCGAACACTAAGGGGGAGAACATTCCAGAGTTTAGGAGCAGTGAACGCAAAGGCCCGCTCCACTCTCCACAAGATTTATACCTCATTTTCGGGACGCACACAAAAGCAAATGATCTGCAGATCTCAGGTTTCTGGTTGGAGCATACGGCTTCATCAGTTCTGAAAGATAAGCCGGGGCTTGACCATTCAGAATATTGTAGACAAATGTCAAAACCTTAAATTGGATGCGGTATTTAACAGGCAGCCAGTGCAAGCGTGCAACCTTATGGTCCTCGACGGTGTACTGGAGGAGATGTCCTTTACCAGAGAGGGAGCGAATGTTGAGGAGACCAATATTAGCTGTGAGTGGCCTATCAGATTAAAAAAATAACAAGTAAACAAACGGTTTCTCAGTGAACTTGGCCTTCATTCCATTAACGATGACAAATATGTTGCCCCGTGCATTTTTACTGTCTTGTTTTTATCCAGTCTGTTGCCCCCTGGCTGCACCCCAAAGACGAGCCGCTGACTTGGCTCCAGCGGCTGTTTCCTCTCAGTATTAATTGGGGCTGATGTGTGCAGGGAGGACTTTGTTTTGGGAACTTCAGGGTTAGTTTTGTGTTGCATCAGTCACTTAAATAGAATTTGTATGGAAATGCGACGCCGTGGCTGTAAAGTGGTTGCTGAGAGTGTGTAACATGTGAAGTGGCAGAAATGTTGTGCTGTGACAGAACGTGCATCCTCCAGACCTACAGGAGGGTGACGTGCTGCGAGTAGTGTGCACAGTGTGTGATTAGATGTGGTTCCTCGAGCTGTGGGACACTCACTGGCTGTCAGGCCTTTGAAGTGCTCAGAAGGTTCCGCTCAAAGCGGCTTAAAGTGTACCTTGTTGAAAGCGAGCCAGAGCGAGGAGGCGTACTGAGATTACTCTGGCGGCGGGTGGAAAGGCGCCCAGCGCTGCGCTCTTTGAGGAGGCTGATTGAGATGCAGCGCTCTGCCTCTCCTCCTGACCTTGAACACGGAGTAACAAGAGGTGATGAACGGGAGTCATGAACATGTCTAATTCCTGCTGATCACCATCAGGCGCCAGCAGGGTTCGGGGTCTTTAGATTCAGTCAAATGAGATGCAAATTCATGGGTGTTTAAATGCTAAAGAGGTCATTAGCAGATAATAGCTGCGTGTTAAAAGGAAAGTGTTGTTCCTCGAAATGAAGGAGCTGCATTTCTACCTACTACTCCTTAAGTTGGCTTGTGGAGTGTTTTTTTTTTTGCCTGGAGGTAGAGAGAGCTGTTGAGTTCCCCACCGGTTCCTTACTGCAGTTCTGCAGTGGCTGATGAAACAAACTGCAATCATGTACCAGAGAAGCGTAAGAATGCAGTCAAGTCTGAAAACACAATGAGCACCGCTGCTTTAAACCCAACACTGAAAAAGGAGGAAAAGAGAAAAATGCTGTGCTTGTCGTTTCCATCCGTCAGCACTAACCTTAAATTGGTCAAACGAGCGTGTGTGTGTGCTGCTGTCATTCCAGGTGGCGGGACACAGGTGTGTTTTAGTTCTGGACCAAACCCGTGTTGTTTTTCTGTCCTGCAGACAAACACGAGACCAAGCTGAAGGGTGTGATCTACTTCCAGGCTATAGAGGAGGTCTACTACGATCACCTTCGCAGTGCCACAAAGGTGAGCCTCAGACTGGGCCCTGCTCTCTTGCGTCCACCGTTCGTGCTGCTTAGGAAAGCTTCAGGCGAGCTGCAGGAGCTGAAGCCTGAAATCCTCTGGAAGTAGAGTGTCCATGTCAGAGGAAACCCAGTGGGATGGTTAGAAACCATCAGCTCGCCTTTAAACTGAGTGAAAAAGGCAGAGCAGACGCACCCTCGTCACTCGGTTGGACCCGACTGCAGCAGCTGGTTAAACTCTGAGCAGACCTGTGATTTTGTCTCCGTGTCCTCCAGAGTCCAAACCCGTCCCTGACTTTCTGCGTGAAGACCCACGACCGCCTGTACTACATGGTGGCCCCGTCGGCCGAGGCCATGCGGATCTGGATGGATGTGATCGTCACCGGAGCGGAGGGATACACACAGTTCATGAACTGAGCAGCCGTCGCTAGCAGGAACGACTTCCTGTTTCCACCTCAGCACAGAAGCAGAGCTGGCTTTTACTTTTAGGTTTTTGTCCAATTTTACTGTGCAGATTGTTCTGTTGGAGTTCTAAAAGGGAGTCGTAAACACACACACACACACACACCTGTGTATATAAATGGTCTCCACCTGTTCTACAAAGCCTTTCTATATTGCCAAAAGGAGATCCTTGTAGTTACTGTTGAATATTTTGTATTATTGTTTTTCTTTACTTGTAGAGAAATTTGCCAAACGACACGTTGCCGATGTTGTCGAGGATTCCATCGTGACTTTGTTGACTGAGCAGCTTTGTGAGAATCTTTAGACAAAAGCTGTTTTTATTTCAGACACGTGACAGAAATGATGAAGCGACTCGTGTATCAGGGGAAGTGGAGCAGAGCGGGTCAGCGTGGACCGGAGAGGACGATCACCTCGCCGGGCAGCAGCTGCAGCCTGGCTGTCTCTCACACACACACACACACACACACACGCACCAAAGTGACTTGAACTCTATGGAGTCCACTGTGTTGACGGAGGTTCTGGCCCTAATACCTGGTTGCTTTTCACACACCTCTACACATCTGAGATGTTTCAGGGCTTTCTGCTTCACCCGTGGGTGAGTCAGGGGAAGCACCGAGCTTAGCCTAGAAGAGAGGTGGAGGGACGCCAGCTGGACTCACTGTCGACATCCACCTCCGTCTGCTCTTTGCTGCTGGTCCTGTGGAAACCCAGATCCCTGATCCTCCTCTGTTGGGTTAAAGCGCCACACACAGCGTTTAAATTCACTCGGTGTTGTTCTGGCTGCGTCTGAAACCATTCATCCTCTAGTCTGCTGGGTCAGCAGTGTAGAGGTTTGCTAGCTTGATTTAAAGCTAAAATAGGGTTTCTTAGCATGGAAGGGTAGAAACGTAGGAAACCTAATGCCTGTTTGACCCGAGCCCCGGCCTCTATGCTCACGTTATAGTGCAGGACTACAGACCAGCGATACCAGGACCCTCATCAGAATCAGAAAAGTGGTGTTGGACTAATGTCATCTAACAGTTCCTGTTTAAAATTAGGCTCAGCTTCGTTTGAACTGTGTTTACATTTAAAAACACAAACTTGTTCGTCTGATGAGGAAGTCTGTGCCTCACCAGCAGCGGCTGGCTGCCAGAAACAGATCATCTGTTCCACCAAAGCTGCCACCTTCTCAGTGTGCTTGTAAAAAGCCCAACCGACTGATCTCACTGTGTCTGAATGAATCTGCAAAATGTACATCTGTGTGTGTGTGTGTGTGTGTGTGTGCACACGTGAAGCTCACCCGTCTACCGGGTGGCCTTTAGCTGAGCCGCCTCACAGACTGGTGGTTCTCAGAACCAGTCCTTGTGTGGTGAGTCCAGCTCGGCCTCTTCAGGACACCTCACTCACACAGACGCACTGACAGGCGTGCGTGAGTTCGATCATCGACATGTAGGTTCAGCCGCATCACCATGGAGATGGTGGGGGTCAGGTGTCTGATGGAGAGCAGGTTTAATTCTGTGGTTTGTGACGGTCGAGTGCTCCTGACCCGACTACTCAAAGCGCCGTGCTCAGCGCTGCTGTACGTCTTTAATGCCACAGATACCAGACAGGGACACCGCTGCTTCTGTGTTATTAGCTGGTGTTGTTTGGGTGATCGTGAGCTGCTTCTGGGTCAGACTTTGTGAATCTCTGCCTTAAACCTACAATCCTGTTAAAATCAGCTGCCTCTCTTTGCTGATCGACTGTTCAGACTTTTCTTTTCCAGTCCCCCGCTTTAGGCCTTCTCTCACCAAGCTTTAACGTCTCTGGACGGCACTCCTGGTTCTGTTGTGGACCAGCTGACTGTAAGCTCTGAGGAGGATCATCGGCGCGTGTCAGACTGCTGCTTTAGTTCTTTACGTCGGTACAGTTGTGACTTACGGTGGTGCTGCCTGAAACGTGACGCGTTTCATTTAGAAAAGTAGAAGAAGACCTTAATATATTCCCCCTCCGCCTTCTTTTTGACCAAACTCTGACACGGAGAGGCTGTCGCCACCGTGCAGCTTTGTGTTACTCGTGTGTGTTCAGATGATCGATGTAATGTACAGAAGATGCCTGAATGAAAATGAAACGGTTCAATAAAATCATGCACACTGTTTACTTTGTTTCACACTTTTACTGCCAGTTACATCTTGAACAGTATGGTGGTGAATAAATCTACAGAACTCATCAGCAGGTACATGTAAACAGAATAAACCACACCCCCAAAGCGCCCACCAGACACACACACACACACATTGTCACAAGAAGTACTCGGACCACACACTGTTACTGGTACCCTGTATGTCTCATGTATGAATTATGTGGATTTTTGTCAAATCTATTAAAAAAACTATCAGTCTGTTTTGTTTTTATTTAGCATCACTTTGTTTATTCTAATAAAGCTACTAGTCACAACAGAGCCACCATGTTAACGGCAAAACCATCCAAATCCCACAAAGTAAAAAAGGTTTTAAAGTGAAACACGACCTCAACAAAACACGTTTAAACGGTGAGGAGTTTCAAAAGGAGCAGACACAAACGCCTAGACATGCTTTCAGGGATTCCTCCGTCAGCAACGCGTCGGCTCAGATCAGAACGCACGCCTAGTTGCCGTTGTCACCTGCAGGGAAACACATGCAGGTTTAAAACGTGTACAGTCACAGATCTTTATAGAGTCTGACATCTTACTTTTGACTCGGCATTACAGCTGCTTACTGGTGACAGCAAAGACTCATGGGGATTCTTATTCGTATGACTCATATGGTTAAGCCTAACCCAGGTGGTTTAAATAAACAACAGCATAAATAAGCTGTGAGACTTTTATTTTGAAGGATAAGTTCAGAGTTCCTGTAGATGCTGCTAAAGAAAAGGCCAACAGATAGTAACTCATTCATTTGTGATGGGCGTGTCTGCAGACGTCTTACGTACTCGCTGCACAGGGGGATGTGTATTCGGTCACGCCCTTGTCACCTGAAACACGAGTAAACACACATGAGGATGCGGCAGGAACCAGTGACTGTGTGCTGCTGCAACACCAGTTCAGCTCTTACTGGTCTGGTAGTAGTCGTAGACTTTAACAACCGCTGGTTTCAGATTCCTGACGTGCTGATCATCCTCCAGAGTCACGCTGTACATCTGGGTCTGCTCCTTCTTCAGCTGCAAACACCACAGTTCTGCACTATCAGCATAGGTGTAACACACAGAGCCACACACAACCTCGGCGCTACCCACCCCGTCCAGGTAGATGCTGATGTGTCCTGCGTCTGCGTCCACTCGCTTCACTGAGCTGTCTTTCTTCAGCTGGGATAACACGAACGGCTCTAGGTTAAGGCCCTGCAGCCCACTGAGAGCCGTGATGCTGCAGCTGGTGCTTTACTCACCTGATCCAGAGAGCTCCCATCCAGAACATATCCCGACAGCAGCTTGATGTCGATGAGGACCATGTTGGTTTCCTCTCTACTGCCACGATACCTGCAGGATACACACACACACATGATGATCACACTGACTCCTTTTGCACAGATGACATCTATAACCCAACAGCTGCAGCAGACGTACCTGACCGTCACGTAGAGGATGAGCTGAGGCCGGGCGGCGTTGCATTTAGCCAAGGTGCTGGTGGTGATGACGAAGGCAGAGAAGCCCTTAGGAGGTGGGATGTTGTAGAACAGGGAGATCTGAGGGGGAAAACGTAAAGCATCCTCTGAATGTTTAAAAGCTGCTAAGGTCTGACGTGCAAAACGGTGACACGGCTAACAAGGACAGAGTCTTCATTTTGGGAGAAATCAGTTCTTGTTGCAAAAAAAAAAAAAAAGTAAAATCTGGTTCTCTGATTAATTTCCTCCCTCTTCACATGGAGCAGCAGCTCTACCCAGAGGTCACCGGAGCTCCGCAGCAGCAGAGCGCATCAGGCACACAAATAAAAGAAAGTACCAGAGAACACGAGAGACATGAACAATCGTGTGTTAATTACGTTCATTTGGTGGCTCGACTTTGAGAAGGGGGCCGTGCGCAGAAAGCATGGAGTGTAGCCACCATCAGCCATCTTTGCTCAAAAGAACTGCGGTACGCCGAGAGTCCATATAAAGGATGTAACACAGGTAGAAAACGGCCCTTCCTGGATGTGTAACTTGAGGGCTTCCAGGGGAGGCAGCCCATCACCCTTTTAGGGGAGCCGGGCTCGCCTTAGCTCCCCAGTAATGCAAACCCTGCTCCTCTCCCCGTCTCTAGGTCTGAGGCCAGCCACCCTACTGGGAAAGCTTTATTTCAGCTGTGTGCGTTCTCAACCGTCTGCTGTGATCCTCTCCAGCTACAGCTGACACTCACAGATGAAGCTAAGAGGAGCTCGACACGTTGACCCCGGTGTGGTTCCAGCTGCAGTGTGTTTGTGTTGCTGTGTGAGCTGAAGCTGACCGTACCTGAGTCAGCACACAGCTCTGACCCTTAGCTGTGATGTTGTAATCCCCTGGGACCTCACTGAGCTGCTCCTCCTGGTACAGCAGCCTGTTGTCTTGATTCACCACAAACACTTTATTCAGGCCTCCTGAAGACGTCACCGTCACCGTGGTGGTGGACTGTGGACTGTAGGTGGCGGCGGCATATTTGGCCAGAGCCTCGAGGGCCACCACTGTGTCCTGTGTAAAAGAGCAGTCTGTGTCGGTTTGGGTGAACCAAAGATGAACCCTCATCCACCGGTATGGTGGTGTGCTACCTGTGTGGAGGAGAACCCGCCGAAGGGGTTCTGCACTTGAACGAGCCAGCGGACGATGCCGGAGCAGTAATCCAAACCAAAGTTCTCCAGGGGTGGAGAGGTGAGCAGACTCAGCAGCACGTAGGAGGTCAGCTCTATATTCAGGGAGTCTGAACCGGAGCTATACTCCCAGTGTCGGCTTCCTCCTGCCGGTCACAATGGTGGAAAAATAATGTTTTAATGATGAAGCAGTGAAGAACAAATCATCTTACCACTTTCTAATGGGTTGATAATTTTCTGTTGGAAGGTTTTTCTGGACAACATTCATCCCTTTCACTAAAGCAGGTCCCGTTATCTGTGAAAAGTCCTCGTTGGTTTGCATTTAAACCAAGACCCAGTTGTTATTGTACCACCAACGACCTCATGTAACGTCCCAAGTCTTTGAGACCAACCTCAGAGTTTCAGTATTCTCCTTCACCAGATACACTCTGCAGCTAGCTTTAGTGTTTCCTCAACTTAAACGAATCGTCTACTGGAGTTGAGTTGTCTTCTTGCTCATACCGTCTGTGATGGCCTTCTGGTCCAGATGGGTGATGAGCTTGCTCCTCATCTCTTGGTCCCCAGCCAGGCTGAAGGTGTAGGACAGCAGGGCAACGGTATATAGGTTATCCAGCTGCCCGTTCACAGCGGCCGTCAGGCACTTCAGACAGCTCTCAACCACAGGATCCTGACACAAATCGGACCAACACAATGAGACTGTGTGCAGGAATCTAGAAATCGAGTCCTGTTAGCTAGCTGTCTTAAGGCAAGTACATTTGATCTAAAGGTGATCCATAGCTCATCTACAGCTCATCTACAGCTGATCTACAGCTGATCTACAGCTGATCCACAACCTCCACCTGCACTCAGACCAAACAAAAGGACATTTTGCACGTCTTCTCCTTGATCATCTCTGATGACAGTGGTAAGGTCTCAGCCTGTTCTTCAGAATGAGGCATCATTCAAACTGCTCCAGATTTGGGAAGAGTGATGTCAGACTCACCGTGGAGTTTCCATCTAGCTCCAGCATGGCAGCAGCAACGTACGCCGTCAGAGTCACTTCATCATTGACCCCTCCCTAACAGAAACACAGCAGCTATGATCAACATTTCAGTCCCAACTTAAAAAGATGTAGTAAATGCATTATCTTGAGTTGGAAAGGCAGTTCAGACAGTTATTTTTTAAATTTCTCTTAAGGGATGTTTGCTTTAGAACCGTATCTCAACAACAATACAAGGACTGGGGCGGTCTTCAGTTTGATATCATGAATCTTTAGACAGATAATGCTCCAGTCCCTCTGATGACTTCACTGATTGGACATGAAAAAATTATACAGCAACATCTGGTGGGCAAACGATGTCAAAGCAGAGTCGGGATCTATGAACACGTCTGTCCAGGGATTACTCAGGAGGAATCATCAGGGAATAAGCAATCCCTGGGAGGAGGACGTGGAAAAGCTCTGCTGCTGATTCATCATCACACAGACGGATGTGTCTAAACATTTTATTTCCTTTAATGATCTCAGCAACGATTAACTCTCAGAAAACAACGACTGAGAGAAGAGAGCATCTTCTGGAAACAGAGAAAAGATTCAACAAACAGATGAAAGCAGCAAATAAATCAGACCACGGAAACCTTCTGTTGGATGCATCGCCTCTTTAGAAAGGGTTTCAGGAAATAGCAGAGCAAAGGGGTGAGCTGCAGCTTCTGATCACAGTTCTCAACGTGCTTTTGTAAATTTCGATTTTGCAAGGAAAACATCCCAACCTACAGCAGGAAGCTCTGTCGCTTTTATGTATAAAAAAGAAAGCACTAATTTTACAGAGATTTGAATCAATAACTGATTTCTGCTGGTGTCTTGATGTGGAACGAACCAGTAGTTGTTTACAAACTGAAACTACTAATGCCTGAAAACATCACAGATGTGGGCAAGAGCCAAACGGAGAGCAGGATGGAGCACGTTCTTCCTGCAGTCATCAGATTTTTCCATTACATCTCCCTGATGAAAGTGAATTCATTTACTGCTGACAAGAAAGCAGAAAAAGGGGAATATGGATGCAGCCTGAATGTTTTATGGAAACATGGCTGCAGCATCTTCCAGACCCTTGGACTTCACAGAGGGGTACAGCTAAAGCCAGGTGGGAATGGGGGGTGGGGGTGCAATGCTGGAGCATGCATTTTCCTCAGAACATTCACACTGGTGGCAGTGCGGATTTTTTCTGGATGCTGATGATGCTGGAGAAGTGAGACGTGGAACAATGATGGGATCTGGTATGGAGAGCCTGTTTCATGCCCATCTGCTTCTGGTCCTAGCACTAATCCTACTGCAATAAGAATGAATGAGAGCCGATGGAGCAGTGAAAGCTGTTATCTGATCCTGCTTGGTATGCACCAAGGATTTAACTTATGAAGTGCTCATTTTTCAACAGGCAACAAAAGTTATTTTAGGTTTTGTGTGAAATTATCTCACAAAACTTGCTTATATGTCATCAAACCAGAGAAGAAGAAGGAAAATGGCTGTGGGATTAGCGAGTTTCACATCCTTCTTCAACGTGGAGAAAACCACTGTAAACCTGGCCAGGTGGTCAGTAGCAGCTACGCTGGGGAGAGGAGATTCTGCGTAAATGACGTCTGATTTGTAGTGGTTTTAATTACGAATTTTTACTAAATCTCAAATGACATGGCAGAGATCGTGGAAACTCATAATTATTTTTCATTTAACCCTCTCAGGCTTAAAATAAGTTTTGATAAAAGGACAAACGACTAAGTCCCTCAGGGGTACTTCTGAGTTAAAAAATGTGTTAGTTCACATTAGCAAATGTTTGAAGTCAAATTTCACTGCTGAGAGTGTTTTACTGCGACAGAGCCCAGAAACATTCAAACCTTCAGGTCAGTGTGGATCAAGTTTCCCACTGATCTGATGCAGCCATCTTTCTTCTGAAGCTGAGACAACCACGTCCTGGCGTCATTAATGTACACAGAGTCAATGAAGATGTAGGAACTGGCTCCGCCGAAGGACTTCATCACAAAACTGGTCAGCCTGGAACACACACACACGTGCACAAGTTGGCTTTTCTATATTTGTGAGGACCCTTCATTTTGTGACTTCACTGTGCCTTACCCTAACCTCAACCAAAAGTTAATTCACACCAAACCACTAAAACTAGGGATGCACGATACGTCAGCATTGGTATCGGTCGATGTTAGTCATTTCTTAACATATCGGTCTGATAAGTAAAATTGCACGATATTAAATAAACGATATTTGTTCCACCTTGTTGCTGTTTGTGTATCTGACTCAGAGGGTGATGATGTGTGGTTTAATCCTGTGATGTTGATGGAAATCATCTCAGAAGCAAAGATGTGTGCACATGTGTATAAATATATATACACACACACGTGCACAGGCGCGCACACACACACACTCAGAAAACAGCACACACTGCTTTAGACTCCACATTATTTTGTCTCAATGCTGTCTCATGTTAGCTTGTGTCTCTTTAGAGAGACCGAACAGTTCTTACAACTGGGGTTCCGCTGGGGGCGGTGGTGTCCAGAGTTACAGGTTGGGGGGCCACCTTGATGGGGAGAGCAGTGAACGGCGTTTGGTCACACAGTTTGAAACGGGTTCACATAAATGTGCTGGAACTCCTAGCAGTGTTTCTAGCTTTAAAGCACTTCCTGCCTTACTGAAGGGACCGTCATGTCTTAGTGAAGACAGACGACACCACAGTAGTAGCTTACCGTAAATCCTCTAATACAGGCCCGGGCCTGTATTTGACTCAAGCTCATCAAGCTCCAGGCCTTTATTGGAAGGAGGGCCAGAATTAGAGGCAGGCCTCTATTTCTATTTGAGCAAAATGAACTAATGGTTCGCTGGAGTTTTTGACAATTAAAATTGCGCCCACATTTTCAAAGTTAAACACATTTCTTTTAACAACGGTAGTTCCTGCTTCAGCCCTCTCCCCCCTCCCCCTGCTTCAGCCCTCTCCCCCCTCCCCCTGCGCAGTGGCCGCAAACTCACTGATGCGCCTGCAGCCTCTCGGAGTTCCTGCTGCTCTAAACATTAAAATAATTATTTCATTTTCTGTTCCTCACTTCTGATGACCTTCAATGGTGTCTGTTTGTTGCAACAGCAGGTACAAAAACTAACTTGTTTTTATTTGACTATTTTTCTGTCCTGCCTGTTTATTATCTTCCTGCATCTCCTCTCAATCCTAAAGAAAAACTGCTACCTGGGTTTATATATATATTCACCTTATGAGTTACCTTTGAACTGCAGTTCTAAAAGATCTACCGACCGCAAAAACAGCGGAGTGCTCGCTGCTTGCCGGCCGCATCAGTGATTGGTGCGTCACCGAAGGACAAGGTGATGCGCCCCGCTCCACAGCGAAACGCATCAGGCGCAAATAAAAGACAGAAAACATCAAAGGAAATGAACCAACATGAACGATCGCGTGTTAAATAATTTGGCAACACCTGATAATGTTACTGTGACCGTGCTCAGGAGGCAGATTACCGACCGCAAAAACAGCGGAGCGCTCCCTGCTGTGATCTGTGCGTCGGAGGACAAGGTGATGCGCCCCGCTCCACAGCAGCGAAACACATCAGGCGCAAATAAAAGACAGAAAACATTAAAGGAAATGAACCGACATGAACGATCGCGTGTCAGTACAGACGCTTTGGCACAGCGCGTTGCCAATCAATCAGCCTTTCATATAGGTGCAAAGGTGCTGAACCCCCTCTGGGGGTGACGGCTCATTCTACAAGGAGCATGGCCACATCTTGGGCCCTGTTTTGTGGGGTGTCAGTCCAGGATATCTGCAGCAGCTAGCTGGGCCACGCTGCTAACTTTTGTGCGGTTTTACTGGTTGGATGCGTCTCAACCTTCGCTGGCACATTCAGTGCTGGAGGCCGGATGTACAGCATCTGCTTAGTGGTTAGGCAGAATTTTGCTGCAGCTCGCTTCAGGAGGGACATGCAATCCGGGAGTGGGCCATGTCTCCCGTGGTGAAACACCGAACGCAGTTAGAAAAAGAACGTAGGGTTACGTTATGTAAACCCGGTTCTTTGCTAACAGAGTGAGGTGTTTCACCAACAATTCCCTTCTTGCATTAACGGTAAGAAATCGTCCGAATGAGTAGGAGGGGTTGGTTGGTCGTGTCTATACTGGGTGGGCGGAGCCTGGGCACAACACAACCGGTCTGTCGGGGGCAGACGTGATGTCACTGGAGCTTCCGTAGTTAGTCACGCCAGGGTGACTCCCATAGTGAAACACCTCACTCTGTTATCAAAGAACCGGGGTTTACATAACGTAACCCTACGTTTTTCTGAATAGTCAGTTGTTTATTTAAGCTTTAATTGCAGTAAACACTTCAGCCCCATTCAAAACAAAACAAATAAAGGGAACACCCACTCGTTAACCCGCTGCCAAACTCCCCCCCCCCCTTCAAATCCCCCCAGGCGCTCTGAGCTTTAAGCTCATTAAATAAAAATATCATAATTTCTGGAAGATTCCTAATAAGACCAAACTATTAGTGTGTCTGTTGTTGGCAGAGGTGTGTGTGTGTGTATGTGTGTGTGTGTGTGTGTGTGTGTGTGTGTTCCTCCCACCACGTCTGCATGTCATTTTTGTTTTCTTGTCACATGAAAGGAGGGATATGAAAAACAAACCTTGGGATAAATGTTTTAAATGCTTCTCAAATGATGCAACTTCAGTAAAACACGAGTTCTATCATCGTATTTCTCACTCAAAACAAAAAATGGGCAACAAAATTAAAAATCAGACTCAGAAACTCCGACTGAAATGAATTGTTTTTAGTTTAGGTTCCCATGGAGCCACTCAGTCTGGTATTTAGTCTCAGTATTTGTTCCCATTTAGGACGCTGTTGAGACAGAAACAGTTCCTATTCCAACTCACCAGGTGTTACCGGAATCATCGCTCATCCCAAAAGCGCTGTAGGAACCATCGGTATGCTTGTAGGTGAGCTCTCTCTGATACCCTGTAACACACAGAAGGAGTAAAACCTCCTATTCACCTGTGGAACAAACACTGAACATAAACCAAGACTCCAGCATCACCAGTAGTCCCATGAGTGGGGGGTGGGAACAGGGTTTCTGTTTGACTAATGGGATTATTATCCTGAATTCTAACTCCAGAGATGGATGTTTGTATGACTTTAGGAGCAGAAGAATCCTTTTGAGAGTAAATCTGAATCCAAGCAGGAACTTACTGAGTGTTTAGAGAGAGCAGAACAAGATCTGAGCACGAAAACAATTCATGCTCTCAAATCGACAAAATACGCTCGGGATTAAAGGTGGAATATTAATCCAATTCAGGCTTACCGCTCTCCAGGAAAACCTTGGCCCTGTCCAGGATCGGCAGAGTCAGCTGACCGGAGCTCTTCAGGTAGTTGAGGATGAAGATGTTGGGAGCAAACAGAATCATGTTCTGCTCCCCGCAGCCGTACGGCATGGCCAGGAGCTGGTCCAGATTCTTCATGGCCCGGCCCATCAGATCTCCTGCAGACACAGGAAGTAGGTAATAACACACCGGTGCTTTGATTTACTTTGTTGACAGGCTGAACGTGTCGTCCACCGACCTAGGACGGAGACGGACGCTCTGGCTGATCCTGGCACAAACGCTTCAGGCAGCTGCAGAGAGATGCTCTTCTCCACCGGTCCCTCTGGTTTAACGAAACAAAGAGAAGAAGGAAAAAAAACATCTCAGTGACAACGTCCTCGCTGAAGATGGAGATTCTGTTCAGTTCAGAGACTCACTTGGAGGACAGAGCAGAGCGTTGTAGCCGACCATCTGTGGGGTTCCTTCAGCCTGCAGGAGAGAGACACAGAGGTGTGTTAGGATCACACACGACAAACACCTGCAGCAGATGTGTTATGGTTCAGGAAACATCAGACGCTTAGTTTGATCCCAGACTGAAGCTACAGACACGTCAGCGCTGAAGCTACCAGTTCACACGCAACAAACAACAAACACATCCTGGGATTAAAAATGTGGCATCATTTAAATTACATCTGGGAAAATGATAAATCAGGAGTTCAGGTGTTGGTCGATCCGTTGACCAAACACCGGTACGGTTCTGTGACCTTCACTGACCTCGACCAGCAGGGTCTGGATCACGGTGTCGACCCGGCCCACATCAGGGAGGGTGGTCACCTTGTTGCCACACAGAGCACGTGTTTTCAGGGCCTCAGCGCTGACCTTCAGGCTCACGTCACCTGTACACACACACACACACACACACACACACACACACACACACACACACACACACACACACACACACACACACACACACACACACACACACACACACACACACACACACACACACACACACACACACACACACACACACACACACACACACACACACACACACACACACACACACACACACACACACACACACACACACACACACACACACACACACACACACACACACACACACACACACACACACACACACACACACACACACACACACACACACACACACACACACACACACACACACACACACACACACACACACACACACACACACACACACACACACACACACACACACACACACACACACACACACACACACACACACACACACACACACACACACACACACACACACACACACACACACACACACACACACACACACACACACACACACACACACACACACACACACACACACACACACACACACACACACACACACACACACACACACACACACACACACACACACACACACACACACACACACACACACACACACACACACACACACACACACACACACACACACACACACACACACACAATTACAGCCCATGTGTACAGAGGAGACATCAAGCTCATTACCCTCATCTTTTCTCCTTCCTCCTCCTGTTTACCTCCTCATTACCCCCCTTCCCATACAGCTGTTTCCAACCACCCCCATCACTTCCCTCAGCCCACAATCCTTCCCACGGAGGACAAGTACAGATCAGCCCCTCAGGGAGAGGTTTCTGAATGTTTCGTCAGAGAAACTCCCTGACTTGTTAGTACAAGTGATTGTCAGCATTCCTCTGAGAGGGAGTTAGAGGATTGGAGTTTGACATTCATCAGAGCCTCGCCTCTATCAACCCTGCTGATGGAGGCTGATGGAAATCCTCCATTTTCAGGCCAGCCAGGCAGCACACACACACACACACACACACACACACACTGGCTGTCAGCGCCCTCAGACGGGCTTAATTAGCTACTCTCCCCCAGAAACGCGAGGATGTGTCGGACAGAATAAACACGTCAACGCTTCACCTTCAAATCCTCTAGATTGTTTTGGATTATTAGTGAAGCACAGCCATCAAATGTCCAAATTCACATAATGAGCTGTGGCTGATGCCAGTTTACGGAAAGCCAAAAGTGTTGCATTCTAAATAATCCATATGGATAAATGAACTCCCTAAAATAAAGTTAAACACTAAAGTTTTTCAAATAAAATACCAATTCATTTGATTTAAAGTGTCAGTTTGACTATAAATGCACCAGAATTTATTTCATGTCAGCTTAGCCCTTCACTGCCAGTGGTCGGGGCCAAAAGATACAGCCTTATCAGTTATGTTTTTGATATATAAATAATACAATCATTCAAAGTCATCGGTGTGTTGACTGACTCCGAGTCAGTTAGCAGGGATTGGTCCAATCTGGTCACATGTTAATGTGGTCATGTACTCGTCTCACATAAGTCAATCTTACGTTGTGTTTTTATTGGTTTAGATCCTAAATGACAAAACACATAAAAAGTGTCAAAATTTACATTTTAGATCACAAGTTGCTGTTTTTAAAAGCAACAAAATGATGACATGTTAAAGGGTTTCTGACAGAATGCCAATATGATTCACTTTAAGCGACTAATGCTTTAAAACCACTAGTTAATGCAAAGATGCAAATCTCACAAATAAAGAAAGTGACCCACGACTCGTCCTGGTTTGGGCCGTAACGCTGCTCTGTCTTTGTGCCATTCACAGTGTAGGTGCAATATTGATGTCCAATCCTGGCCCTCCAGGGCCACCGTCCAGCATATTTTGGAGGTTTCTTTGCACCGAGACACCTGGTTTTATTCAACAGGTGATTAACAGGCTTGGTCAGCTGCTGATCAAGTTATTCAATCACTGAATCAGGTGTGTTGGAGCAGGAAAACAACTTAAACATGCTGGATAGGAGCCCTCCATGACCAGTGTGGTGTGTTTGTGTTTTAATGCACCTATTGGTTCCTGTAGTTGTATTTAAAGAGCAAGTCACCCCAACACAACCTTTTTTGGCTGATGAACTGTATAAGTATATGCTGCAGACTCGTGTATTTTGGCATTTTAGTGCATCCGTTTTATAATGCAAATAGGGATGCCCAGTACTGGCTTTTCCACAAATATCCTATATTGTCTAACTCTTATTTTCCAATATGGATATAAACAGATACTGATAATAATAATAAAAAAAAAAACATTACGATTGCCAACATTCGTGCAAAATTGCAACTACTTCAATTGAAGTTTTCTGAAAACTGATATGAGTGAGAAATCGCTGTTAAAAAAAATCTTTATTATGTTGTCTGTGCGAAACGCGACAGAGTGAGGGCTCACACCTCAGACCTATCACTGATCCCGTTGTTTACGCCTTACATTTAGGCTGTACACGTTTGTGCCTTAGAGGACATTTGTCTTTGTAACTAAAAATTGTATAGGGAATGTTTGGGCATGTGTAAAAGTTACTTAGCTGATCAAATGTAAGCAGCGTGAGTGTGCACATGCTAAGCTAGGCTAATTGCTAAGCGTGGCGCTAAGACGTGCGTAATAGTCAGTAATGTGTTTTTTCTGTTTGTTTTTTGCAGCTACGGTGGTAAAACTTTTATAAAGATCTTAATTTAAGAAAAGCAGGCCTTGGGTGAAGATTCTGGTGCTTGCAGTTGGTTGTTAGCTGACTAGCTACACATACGCAGTACGCACGTACTATGTAGCTGCGTACGTGGTCCAAGAACAGCAGATCCTCACTACACAGGTCAAATTGCTAATTATTCTCAAGTTGTGCCAAAAAAAAAAACCTAGAATATCTCACAAACTAAACCTCAGATCTGTCATTTTTTGGCTTTTGACAGAGAGGAGACTAAGCAGAAGAGTTTGATGTTTTAAGTGTGCATGGTGTGTAAAAGTTGGATCACAAAAGGAGTAAAAATATAATATATTTTCTGATATTACATTTAAAGTTAAAGTCCCATTAGTTGTCACACACACACAGGTGTGTGTGCGAAATTTGTTCTCCGCATTTGACCCATCCCCTGTGGGAGCAGTGAGCTGCAGACACAGCCGCGCTCGGGAACTATTTGGTGGTTTAACCCCCCAATCCAACCCCTTAATGCTGAGTGTCAAGCAGGGAGGCATTGGGTCCCATTTTTTCAAAGTCTTTGGTATGACCCGACCAGGAGTCGAACTCCTGATCTCTCAGTCTCAGGGCAGACACTCTACCACTAGGCCACTGAGAAAGGTCTTTTAAGGCCAATAATTATATCAGAAATCCCTAAACATAAATATTGGCCTGTAAATGGCCTGTATTTGCTATAGCACCTTCTAGAGTCCTAGAACCCCCCCCCCCCCCCCCACACACACACACACACACAGGCACCACCAGTCCCTCCGACCACCATCAGCAGGCAATGTGGGTAAAGTGTCTTGTCCAAGGACACAACAGCAGCTTAAAACAATCAGTGTGGCGCCCTCTTCAGGTTAAAACTCTGCTGAATTTGAATCAACTACTGGCTAAAATGGTCCAGTGCAATATCTGTGGGGGGGTGACTCTTGAGTTGACTAAAGTCACCCCCGACTCACTTTTTTGGAAAAGGGACCCCTAATTTGTGTTTCTGTAGTTTAGTGTCTGTCATTACCCAGAACTTTGGGAGTCACAATCCATGAGAAGGTCCTGGTCTCCTCACTGCACACACAGACGCTGTACTGGCAGCCTTCACACGCCCTGTAGGTGAACTGGTCTGAATCAGCCAGAGTCACCTCCACCTGTGATCAGAATCAAACACTTAGCATCTAAACTTCTGACGCACCAAGGAGCTGCTGTGTGTTTGGCCTTTACCATGATGCAGTTGGAGAGGTAGTTGAAGACGGTGGCTCTGAGGGTGAACACCTCCCCTCTGATGACGGAGTAAGGCAAAGTCAGACTGACAAAGAAGGGCTGGAAGACGGTGATCCCGGTGTTGGGAGCCACGCCGAAGCCCACTGGGGAGACGCAGAATGCTCCGGCGGCCCACTTGGTGATGGTGTCCGGCGCCTTCTTAACCACGTTCACCGAGCCATTGTCCCTGTTCACATGGATACGCAGACCCATCAGATACACCCACTGACAGAACGGACCGATCCATGGCTAATAATACATCCAGACTGAATAATCCTCATCATGTAGCATTTGTTACCCCACAGGGACCAGATCCCAGATCCACGTCTCAGGGAAGAACGTCCTGACCGTCTTTTTAGTCTCCGGCTGAGCAATTCCAGCACCTGGAGGTGCACTTTGTGGCAAAACGTTTTGGGCGAGGGGAGATGCCATTGCTAGTCCTAAAAAGGCACGCACAAAAGAAGGCATTCATTTCACCACTACACTTACTCAACAAACACCAGATCCCAGATCCACGTCTCAGGAAAGTATTCCCTAACAGTCTGCTTGGAATTCCCAGATTGATTCTCAGCGGGCACAGGAGGTGGTGCTGGAGGAGGTGCTTGAGGAGGTGCTTGGTGGTCTCTGAATGCTGTGTATAGTGCATATTCATATTTACCTACGCAATGATGATATGTAATGTTTTTCTAAGAAGTCAGTAAAAAATAAATAAATAAAAAACGTACCATCAAACTTCCAGAAGAAGCACTCCTGAGGCTTCCTCACATCAGAGTTTGTCACAAGTTTGACTCCAATGTTCTAGAAGTGGACGGAAAGAAAACAAGGAATTGGTCAAATGTTCTTATAAAGATCAGGATTGGTCGTGTGTTGCAGTAGTCCTCGAATCTCAGAATTTTCGAGCAGGAAATGACGTAACGGGCTCGTTTCGCATTTCAGCTTCCAACTCGGAAACAATGGCTGCCAACTGTGTTGTTGAGTGCTAAACCAAAATTATATACCAAATATTCTCCACATCTAAATGATAGTGACACACACGCCCTTCGACAGTTGCCACATGCAACCAGAAAAACATTACAAATCAAATGTAAAAATAAAAAACCATAAACAATCTCCAATTTTGGAGGTGATGTTAAATTTTTCAACAACGTAACTATTGATAACAACAACAAACAACTTACTGGTAGACAGCAAAAAGAAAGAAAACAGAACATATAAATGAGAAAGAAATAAAGACAATAACTACTTCCTGGTAGCACTGGGCGCAGCCATCTTTAAATTTAGGATCTCGGGTTCCTCTGAAACCTGCAAGCTCGCTGCTCGGAATTGAGAGTTCATTGTGTCATTTCCGGCTAACTTATTTCAAAAAAACGAGTTCCGAGGACAACTGGAAAGCATCACGAGAAAACAGAGTCAACAGAAAGAAATCTAGATTAGTTCTAATCCCAGCTCTAATCCAGATCTGGTAATGGAGAGAACAAAAGATGAGGGGAAAGAGAAATGTGTTCCTAAAACCACAAACTCAGGAAAATCAGAGAAGGGTTCTACTTTAAAGACGCTGTAGATGTCGTCCTTTTGTCCGCTTGGTTGGAAGATCAATGAGCGCTTTGGCCGTATGACGGTATTATTGCCAGTTACAGGTTCAGGTGTAGGTACAGGTGTAGGTTCAGGTGCAGGCGGAGCAACAAACTCGGGCATTGGTCTTATCCCAGGGAAGCAGGGGAACGGTTCACTGTCGTCTATCTCAAAGCTGTATCCTGACAGCCTCTGATTAGTTAGCTGGTTGTACACCTGTAAAAAAAAATATTGTTTATATCTAAATGTCAAAGATTTGGTAACAACTCGGACGTGAACATAGATCGTACGTAGTCCACAGTGAGCTCCTGCTCGGGTTTCAGCAGAAGGACGCTCTGATCGATGGCTCTGACAGAACACAGGGACTTTGGAGAGGCCTTCAGGGTCAGGGTGGTCTTCTCTGCAGGAAGCACCTGCAGGGAGGAGAACTTCAGCGACACCTGCAAGGGACACACAAGCAGACAGTTGGTGGTTTGGAGGGAGATGAATGATGTCCACCTTCTGCATACCTTCTTGTTTCCTACCTGGTTTTTTAAGCAGAGCTGGATGGGGAAGTCCTGGCTGTCGGCAACCAACTCTCCAGTGGGCATCAGGGTGTAAACCACCACCTGAGCATATGGCGCCAGGTCTAACACCTGGTTCAGAGTTATTCTCAACTCTCCTTTGTTTACTGGAGTAGAAAACAGACACACGTAAACAAGGTTAATTGTGGAAAATTATCAATATTAAATTTAGAAAAGATCAAATAAAACAAAATAATTTGCAGGACAAGAAAAACTAAGTTTAATTTTCATACAAGCTCCTGCTTTGACAGTCACTGGGACACGGTCATGACGCACTATTGAACCTTTGGACAGCACCTGCAAAGAAACCCACAAAAACGAACAATTAGGATTATAAAGATGGTGTTTCTCAGACCAGGTGAGTTCTGGATCACGTCTTCAGCTGTCAACAACCCAAAGCACATACCAGGTAGAAGAAGTCGAGGACCGTCTGTCCGTCGTTCAACTCATTCCCCCGGATAATGTACTCAGCGTGAATCTTTGCATCTTTGTTGCAAGAGAAGTCGTCGTTGATCTGCTTCAGCATCACAAAGCTGTTGCTCTTGGAGAAGAAGGGGGACACGTACTGGTAGGCCGTCCCGTAGTCTGGTCTCCTCACATTTGAATCAAATGGTTCATTATCTGTATCCTTAGTGGTTGCCTGTTGAGAGCAAATTTCCAAAGACTTAAACCAACAAGAACCTTTCTTGGTCCTTTAGAATGAATGGATCAGGTTTGGTCATCAGACCAACTGCAGCTCCTGGTTCCAGTAGACTGGCACACATGGAAACCCTGTGGTCTACTGAAGTCTAGCGTAACATCGCCAAAGAACTTCCTTAAACAGAAAGAGGCTGGAACAAACCCGCAAAGACACAGAGTTCTTCCAGTATGTCGTGTCCAGAGAAAACAGAATCAAGCCTTTCAGGTCCGTAGAGAGAGTTATTTTCGTTGAGTCTTCGACATACAGGTAGACCACCTCGTTAGCAATCGGCTGGTCATTTGGACCCGTGACTCTGATCTGAAAAATAGAGTAAAACAAACAGGATTTCAACCAAATCATTTCACTGACATGAGTCCAGGAGACAGATCAGCAACTGGCCCGACTGGATGATGACTTTCTGGTGCTGAAATAACCAGTTTGTTCTGGTTTTAACCTTTTTCGTAAAATAGACTAATGATAACAGTCATTGTTATTTTAGAGTTGATCTGATTTAATTTGCCTCTCTGATGCTGATGCACAGAAATGTCTCCACAGAGTAAAGGAATCACTCTGCTCCAGGATCTATGAGCGATAGATACTGAGGAACTTCTCCCCTTTGGGAACACCACAACACATCTCACACAGTTACAGTCTTTAATGCTCTTTTTGTATTTTTGATCATTTTAATTATATATAATGACTGGGTTCTGGGTCGTTCTGGCTGGGAGTATGGGGTACCAGGCATTCGTATACGGGCTGTTAGGTTCCTGTATGACCGGGGTCAGAGCTTGGTCTGCAACTGGCAGTAAGTCGGGCTCGTTTTTGGTGAGAAGTGAGAGTTGGACTCTGCCAAGGCTGCCCTTTGTCACAGATTCTGTTCATAACCTTTATGGGCAGGATTTCTGGGTGCAGCCAAGGTGTTGACGGGATCCGTTTTGGTGTCCTGAGGATCGGGGCTCTACTTTTTGCAGATGATGTGGTCCTGTTGGCTTCATCAGAACATGATCTCCGGCTCTCGCTGGAGCGATTCACAGCTGAGTGTGAAGCAGCTGGGATGAGAATCAGCTCCTCTAAATCCGACACCATCAGAATCAGAAAAGGGTAGAATGCCTTCTCCGGGTCAGGGAGGAGGTCCTGCCCCAAGCGGAGGAGTTTAAGTTTCTTAGGGATTTATTATAAGGGTTGCTGTAGATACCGACACTCTTCTGCTGGGTTCTTTATGTAGGAACCCTTTTACTGATTGACATAATGAACTGAACTTTGTTGGAAGGTTTACTTTGTGAAGTGTCTTGTGACGACCTTTGTCATGATTTGACGCCGTATAAATAAACTGAACGGAAATGAGTGAAATGAATCGAGACGTTGATAGGCGGATCGGTACTGCATCTGCGTAATGCAGACCTTGTAATGGTCTGTCGTGGTGAAAAGAGAGCTGAGCCGGAAGGCGAAGCGCTCCACTTACTGGTCGATCTACGTTCCAACCCTCACCTATGGTCACACGCTTTGATGTTGCTATGTTGTTGTGAGCTGTCATGGCTGATAACTGATATTTACTGATATTACATTAGTTTCTCCACATCTTTGACACAGTGTAAAGCAACCACACTTGTGTCTCAGCTTCAGTTAAACACCCTCACAATCAAACCCTGCATCACTACCGCATCACACCAAGGATAATGCAACCAGGCCAACCCTCTCCGCTCCTGAAACAGATACGCAGACAGCGACAAGACAAATCTCGTCTGGCCCAGTTTCATTCATCAGACCACTTAAAAAGGGCCAACATGGGCTGATACTGATGTTGATGTTTATTTACTGTGCATCCCTAGTTGTGATGTGACGAAGGGATTGGTGGATGGGTCTTTGATCAGGCCCTTACCTTTCCTTCAAAGGGTATTCCAGGTTTGTAGGATGAGGGAACGTCTACGAAGGTGATCGTTCGGATCTGACTGGTGAAGGTAGCCGACCCAGAACTCTTCAGAGTAACTCCTGGATAGAGACGAACATGGAGATGGTGGCCATCAGGCATCAGTGTTCCTAGGAACCAAACAGCACCTGGGTCTCAACCTACCTGTGCCAAACTCCTCAAGCTCAGCAGTTACATCAAAACTGTCAGCGTAGGAGTACTGATTGAGGGCGAACTCTGACAACTTCACCTTTACTGAAGCACATCCAGTTTTATCCGTCTGGGAGATGATTAACAGACAGTTAAGTCTTAGTGGTGACTACGACTAACTGTCTGCAGGACAACTTACAGTCAGCTCAAAGCTCCTGCAGATGTCTTCTGCTCTCCGCTCAGTAAACCAGAAAAACCAGGTGGCTTTTCGGCAAAACTCCACCTTGGCTCTCCCCTGAACTGGTTTTCCATAAGTGTATCTGCAGGAGAAGGAGATGTTTCCTGCGTCTTAGTTTCAGTTTCAGTTCAATAGCCTCAGGTTTACGCCTGTCTTCATAAAACATGGAAAAGCTCACTTATAATTCATCTATGAGGTAATGATCCCATCAGGAAAAGCTAGGAATCCCCCACCATGCCACTCACCTCAGTATAAAAAAAATCTAGAGCCTAACCCAAGCGGAGCTTCTGCTGTAACTAGTCAAAGACCAGATCTGATGCAGAAAAGATTTGTGTGGTTTATGAAAATGCTGATGAACACTCACTTCCCACAAATCTTCACTGTGGCCTCTTTGTCGAGGATGGTAATCACACTGGGCAGGAAGATGTTCACCTCATACTTTGGCAGGACTGTCGTATAGAAACAGAATTAAAGACCTTCCAACAGCACCGAGACAAACGGGAGCTTAGAACCAGTGCGGCTAGCTTCATCTCACCGTACTCCTTGATGTCAAAGTTGTTGTTGATCTCTTCTCCTTTGTCCGTCACGGCCGTGATCGTGTACGTTCCCTGTGCAGCCTCGGGAATAATCAGGAATGAAAAGTCGAGGATGCCAATGCCGACGATGGTCTTATTCAGCCACTGGGCGATGCGGTTAGTGTTTGGATCCTGCACACAGTGATCTTGTTTAAACCTGCTGGTCCTCACACACCAGGCCTGGACAGCCCAGATCTTTGTTTATGTCTCCTAAACCGTCATCTTGGTGTTTAACGGGCAAGGAGATGAAGGTCAACAGGACGGAATACAACATCTCACACAGAGATCCACCCAAACCCAAAGATCTGCAACAACAGCAGCTAAACATCTACCAGGCTCCTCGCACCCAATGTCCTCCAGCTGGTAGGAGACAAGCTAAGGAGCAAAGACAGAGTACAGAAATAAAAGAGAACAGAAATGAAAAAGAAACTAAAAAAATAAATGCGGTAATGTAAAAAATATATATACATCTGGAAACATGTTTATTTAATGTTACATTCATTATTCATTTTTTTCAAATTATTCAAAAAGATAAAAGGGCTGGACTTCTGGAAAATGTTCTTCCTTCATCACACAGATGTTCTAAATATTTCATGGAGATTCTAATTTCATCTCTTTAACATCCGAGTGCGGGACCAGATTTAGCACAGAGTCTGCTGAATCTCATCCGAGCTTCCTGATTGTTCCCGTTTGTGTCCTGATGATCATTCAGGAGGACCCGGGCCCTGGAGAAAGTCTACGTCTGCCAGGGAAGCGGAGCCTGATCCACACAATTCAGGCAAAATCCCAAACTTCGTTTTTAGAGACTTTGTAAATTTGATGCTAAGGAAAAGTGGGAAAGATATGATGCTGAATATTTTCATCCAGTTTAAAGGCTTTTAACAAAAACATGTGGTTCGTTTTTTACCACCTAATGTAAAATAAATAAATCATTCATCTTCATTTGTTTTATTCATTTTATTCTCTTCCAATATAAAATGATCTTTCTAAATTTCTACGTTTTTTTCTTATTTTCTTTTTTAGGTATTTTGACGGTTTCAGTGGGGTTAGAGCCACGGTGCCCATCTGCCCTGCAGGGCTCACAGCCAGCTGAACTTTAATATCTGCTGTTTGATCTGCTGCTGTAATAAGAGAAGACTGCTGTTTCTACCACCTATTACTGATATTTCACCTTAGCTGTGAATCAAAGTCTGTTTCATCTGAGCTGAGAGGAAAAAGACCCCAAAGCTCAAGTCAGGTTACATTCAGGGTTACAGCCCGTTTGGACCAGAAGAAGGTCAGAAGACACAAAATCAATTTTGAGATGAAATGCATTTTTAATTTGAGTTTGTTTATTAATAAGCTTTGATCATTGAAAGTGGTTATTTTTATTACTTATTGAGATTATATGATCAGATTTCATCGTTTTTTTCCTTTAACTCTGTATTTTTATTCCACGTTTATTTATTTAATTATTACAGATGTTCTTTGTTCTGCAGCGCTTCATTCGTTTCAGATCTGCCGCTCCACTTTGCATCCTGCCTCTTGCTCGAAGGCAAGAAAAACCCAACCATCACAGCCTTTCACAAAGCCATGACTCGGCAGCTTTCGGTAGTTTCATCACTCACAGGTGCAAAGGTTAAAACGTTAAAAGTTGCTCACCTGCAGCGTCACTTCTGTGTACTGGAAGAAAAAAAAACAAGGACAGAAAAACAATTAAATTCAAGAAAAACACATTTTGTTCTTTGCACCCAGTGAAAATAGTACAAAGCCCAGATGAGACGTGCAAATTTGTATTATTCTAATGGAAGCAGCTCATCCAGATGCAAATCTCAGCTCATGTCATCATTGGACAGAAACTGAGCTGTGTAATTTTAAATTATGCAAATGATAAAACATGCTCAACTTAAGGATAACAGCCGTTTAAATAATGCAGCTTCCTTTCTGCTCCGAGGAAGTTCTTATGGGAGGAAAAAATTCAGATTCATAATTCGCGCTGCAGCCTGAATGTGTGAAGAAACACTAATGTCTTCTTTACAGCTGATAGGATTTACCCCATTCAGCGCGCATCACTGGAGTCGTATGGAGATGTGGATTTCATGTCGACTGCATGCAGCCATGTTTTCACCCTCACATCACAAATGGAAAAACGCCGGCGCGGGTATTGATTCAGATGTTTGGGTCAAATGCGGTGTGTGCCAAATGAACTCTGACAGCATGTTTATCGCAGTGCTCCACACAGAGCCTCACACCCACGCTGTCTTCAAAAATCAACAAACAGCCCTACTTTCACCTCCCACTCCTCTGAACCAAAATAGACCTCGATCCTCACATTCACTGACTGCTCGCTGGAAACCACAGCCAATCACAGAGAACCACACACACACACACACACACACACACACACACACACAGATGGACGGATTACTACTACATACCACTTGGTCCACAGGGAGGAAGTTGACATCCATTGAGACGATCCGGAACTGGACTTTAAAGAGAAGAAGAAAACAAACAAACCAATATAAGCCGTGTTTACTACAGGCAGCAGAACTCAGAGATGTGCACAAATAAACATGGTGGAAAATTTTTTTTTACCAGTTAACATAGAAGAAAATGGAGGGCAAATTCTGTTTATTACAGTGATCAGTTGAACAAGAAAATAAAAAAGGACCAAAAAATGAAAGTTGTTTAAATGAACTAAAACGGAGCGGTGGCAGGAAAAAAACTTAACGCAGCACAGAAATAAGAATGTGTGAGTTTGGCTGATTATTTCTGTGCAGGAACACATGATTCGTCATACTATGGTTGTGAAGGATAAACCAATGCAATCGGATAATCGGTTCAACGTGTGAGAGAGATGGCTCGATCAGTAGCAGCCTCCTCAATCTATAGGAAGTAGCCATGAATTCCTAGATGAATCGGTTGCAGAGTCATGGATCAGGTATCGCAACATTTTGAATCGGTTGGTGGCATCACACTTGCGCCATCATCTCTTAACCCTCCCACTGTCTTTATGGGTGACCCCGCGAGGAAAGTTGACCATTGAGCAGGATTGATGGTTTATCCCTTGAGGTCCATGTGGCAGGGGTGAGGTGCTCACACCCATTAGGACAATGGGAGGATTATACAATGCAAGAGCTTAAGCTGCCCGCAAAACGTTTTTAAACATCTTTATTTACAACTTAGCAAATACAAACTAGCTGCCCAGGAAGCTCTGTAGAGCTGTGTACACATCTGGGACAGTACAGTCGGGGAGGATCGCGTCGGTTTGGGATCGTACAGGCGGCTTTTGTTTACTTCCTGTGTCTTGCTGATGTTAGCATGAGCGATAAGCAAATGACAATGCGGGAAATGGCGGCTGTGAAGAACGACAGCATCAGCCTTAGCGTGAGAGGTGATAATACACCGAGGCAGATTTTCAATGCATTGTGGAAACAAAAATCCAAAGCGTTGATCATTTTTGGGTTTTATAAGAAGGAAGGGAAGTCAAATAAAGCCATGCTATTTGTAAACTGTGTAGAGCATCGTTGACTGATTCTGGCGGCACTACAAATCTGAATCAGCATGCAAAGAAACACAGTCAAGAGTATGGTGAGTACATTTCACAGGTCGAAAAGCAGTAGTTTGATTTATTTGACACATATTTATTTACTTTCTATCATTTTGGACATGAAGCACTTGTGGCTGTGTTAAGTATTGAGATAAGAATGTGGTTACTGCTTTGTCCTTCCTCTCTGGCTCCCCAGGCCTGACGCTGAAATGAATGATCATCATCATTATAAGGTTGTTACTTGGTTTGTTTAAACTTGTTAACATTGAAATGTTGCACTTACTACCTACGTCTGGTGCAGGGATGCCCAATCCAGGTCCTGGAGGACCGGTAACATCACGTTTTAGTTTAAACCCTGCTGCAACACACCTGACTTCTGCAGAGTCTGATGAGCTGCTGCACAGGTGATTCAACACCTGATTTGTTTTCAATCGAATCGTTCTGAATCAAATTGTGTTGAATCGAATCGTTTAGAATGGAATAGCTTTGAATCAAATTGTTTTGAACCAAATCGTTTTGAATCGAATCATTTTGGATGGAATTGTTTTGAATCAAATTGTTTTGAAATAAACTGTTTTGAATCGAATCATTTTGAATAGAATCGTTTTGATCGAATTGTTCTGAATCGAATTGGTCTGTAATAAAAGCACATTGTTTTTAAATCGAATCATATCGAATCATAACCTGTGAATCTAGATTCATATTGAATCGTTCATCACAGAGTTGTGCAACCCTAATAGTAACAAATAAGAAACCAAATGGTCTTTTTTTTTTATTTTGTTTCGTTTTGGTTTCAAACTAAAACCTTTGTCTTTTAGCTTTTCTACTAAATCCATGAGGTGGATGTTTTCAGTCAGTCTGATGAGAAACCCAAACAGAGATACTGGGTTAGGGTCTCGTTATCTTTGAACTTCCTGCAACAGATTTGTTATGCCAGTGGTTTTTCACTGAGGTCGTATGAATTTAGCACCAACACAACCCTGGTCTCAAATATCCCTTCAGTGTGTCGGATCAGCGTCTACAGGGCAGATAGAGAGACTCTTGAGGAAACATCTTCTGTGGAGCGGTTTTAGAAATAATTCTTAAAGTTTGCAAGTGATGGCTCAGCACTATGCAGATTTAATGAAGTAGTCCACATTTGTGCAAGTACAGCTGAATTGGTAAGCAGAGCAGAGACGATAACAAGATGAAGAGCCAGACTGCAGAGCTACACCCAGCTGGAAGCTTCAACACTTCCTCAGAGAGGATTCCTGAGACACCTACCGGTTTGTCCTGGTTTGTAGATGGGTTTGTCAGTCTGGATGAGGTGGATTATATCCGGAGGCTCAATCATGACTTTGGTAGTCTTGTTTACCGAGGTGGCCTCGTCCTGAAGTGATACCTGAATGGTTGCCACGGTGTTGACCAGCACTAAAGGAACCTGCAGCGTCAAACGCATCAGTCAGAAACGACACAGCTCACAGCTAAGGAGGGAAAACACTGAAGGAGATCATTTTCTAGCCAAATCTGTAACAAAAATAATGAGCAGGAAGTAAATCTCTGTGAGACATTTTCAAAACAATCCAAGTATAAAATACTCTCACACTGGTTCACACGCCAGTAAAGCTGCTGTTGCACAACAGAGGCTGAAACCTCTTCCATTACGTGAGGGGGGGGGGGGGGGGGGGGGGGGTCATAAATCCCAGTTGGGGGTGTTCTCCTGAAGAATGCAGGTAACCGGCTAATCCCATAGCAGAGAGCAGAGGGGATTAGCTTTGTTGCCCCAGAAACATCACTATCAGACTAGCCCAGAAGCTGAGACAAGGGCTGGACAGCAGACTACGTGCTATCTTCACGGAGCCGCGTGGAGCACGCAGTTTCCCGTCAACAGGCCTGCCGTAGGGAGCAGAGGTGTAACGTGAACCCGAGCAACCAACTGGTACCGACTGCCCTGACCATGCCCCAGAATAATGAGGCACATAATGATGCCAAGATATGTGGCACTCAATAATGTGGGCAACGAGAGCATGAAGGGGGGGGGGGGGATCACACTATCCAAACATTCACAGTAGTTCTGCATCAGGAATACAACCAACAGAGGATATACCTGACCTTGAACCGTACGCATGTGTAGAAGTTCTGGGTGATACTTTGCTGTAGAATAATGCTGCTGGTGGTGTCCAGGGCCAGGCTGATGGTCAGGGAGAGGCGTGCTGTGGGATTCTGGATCTGTGCACACAAGGTCTCCTGTTCGCCTCCCGTCAGAACCGAGCTGACTGTCACTACATACGTACTGGAACAAAGAAAGGAAAAGGGTTTTATTAAAGGTCTGGGAGACCGATTTCCTCCAGAAGACACACTTCATCTGTTAAAATAGCTTCAGCCAGGCCTCAACAGCAGAGGAGCCAGAGTGAATCAGGTCACAGTAATGTGAGCCAATGACAGCGCGATCCCCCAACAACCAAACTACCAGCGACGATGCAGGTTTACGGGACGCTTTTCTTTGGTTATTTCTCTTTTATTAAACCTGCTGCCATGTTTCCGTCTGGTTTCACACCCTGCTCTAACAGCTGCAGGATGAGTGGCCATAATTGGAGTCTTTGTTTCCAGCCTAAACCTTTTAAAAATTAGAAAAATATAAAATGAAAAAGTTGTTAAAAAAATAAATAAAACATCATAGTAAAATTATAAAATACATTTAAATAGCAGAAAGAAAGATGTTAAATAAAAATGGTAAGTAAAGGTGTTTTAAATACAAAAGAGCAAATTAAAATGATTGCTTCTGACAAGTAAAAGAGGTCAAAATTCAATTCAAAGATACTTCATTAATCCCAGAGGGAAATCAGAGTTTCAGCACACACAATTCTGAGATCAGACATACATACATACATAGGCATAGACACATGACAAGAATTGGTGACTGTAGTCATTCGCAACCCGAGTCGCGCTACCTTAATAGAGATCAGAGGGTTTATATGAGGATTGGGTCAGGTGGAGAAAAAAAAGGTACTTCAGAGTTACTCTCCACAGAGAGGGCAGCTTTTCTATGCAAAAAAACACCTCAGACAGAAATGCAACAGACTTCAGACATTATACAACATAAGTGTACACTAGGTGGGGTGGTAGGGTTTTGGGACCCCCCTCACATCAGTACATGCAGCCACGATAAGCAGCGCTCGTCACCTCCGTCTGGACAGGGGAGGGAGGTAGTTGGGTTAGAGAGCACAGTGACTCCTGGAATGATTCGACAGTCTTCACAGCTGGGATAGGGAGACAGAGTTGCCATGGCGACGGCAGCATTCCACATTTCTTCGGGGTGGGGGGGATTTGTTTCAGCCTCACAGGCTCAAGGGCCTCACATTCAGATAAGGGATTGAGCCAATATTCCTAGACAGCTCGTTGATTTTCCGGTAAGCCAGGTAACCTCCCAGGCCAAAAAGCAGGAAACCTGACACCAACACAACGAATATCCAGACGTCTTCAGAATCCTCTACAGACAGTTGAGATAAGCAGATCAGGTTTCACTGTTTCCAGGAATCCATGATATGCCCAACTGGCTCTGTCCCAGAGGGGCACCCGGGAGCCCCTTCTCCCATTCTCATTGTTGAAAAAAATTTTGTCAATCGCGTTGAGAGACCAGCTGACCAGATCCATTTTTAATAATTTCCTGTTTCCAGAAAAAATTAGAAGCGCCGTGCACAGACAGGACAAAGAGCCATGGGGATAAGATACGGAGGAGAGGAGGACTTTGTCTACTCTCCAAGAGCCGGAAGAAGAAAAAAATTCAGTTAAAAGGATTTATTTGTCTTCTTCAACTGAGAGGTGTGACATCTTTGTTATTTCAAGCCTTTGAGTAACCAGGAAAACATTAATACATAGAAGAACGTCAGAAATCAGATAAAAATCAGGTTTCATCTGATTTGACTGATCAGCTGGTCTAAGACAAAAGAATGAATATAATACTGTGAACATTTCCAGGCAGCTGTACTAATCCAACATCTTCCCAAGACTCTTCCAGAATCCAGATTCCTTCAGAAATTCTAAAATAAACACATCTAGATAATTAAAGCTGTTAGAGAAAAATCAGTATCCACCCTCATCTGAAAGATGGATCATTTCTTTCCCTAGAGCACCACTCACATCTGAATGCACATCACATGACACTCCCTGGATAAGTTTACTAAAACATTTTCAGGTTTGCCAGAAATCAAACATCAGCCACAAAAAGAAGCTAAACTGGGTTAAAGCCTGTGTGTGATGGGTCCAGCATGGCCTCTAGGCTGCTGTTAACACCACTCCAACATTCACATGCACAGCGCCAGTCAAATAACAGAACGAGCCCTTTGTCCTTCAGGAAGCTCCGCTGACCCGTCTGACCTTCCGTAAGCTGCCCAGTTCAGGCTGCTGGCTGCAGCCTCCTTAACGTGGGAAACTGGAGTGTTCTGGGCTGACGTAACGACACAGGCAAAGGCTTCCTTTGAACACAAACTTAGAGGAGGAAGGCAGGCTGGTGATGCTAAAGCTCCAACTAAACTTGGCTGAGGAGGAATCCCGCCATAATCCACAAAGTCAGAAGTCTCTTTACTAAAAAACACATTTGAGAATTAATCCACGAATGTATGTCATTAACCCAACGTACCTGCACTGGATGTACGTATTTGACCTAAAGTGGATCTTAAATACTGGAGGTGTCCATGTTTGATATTGCCTCATCATTAAAAAAAACGACAAAAGACGTGACAGGTGCGAGGTATTAATTACACATGTAGCTCGTAGGGTTCAGGTAATAAAACAATGATCCTTTCATCTTCTTATTTAAGTTGGGGACAGTAATCTGAATCAGTCAAGACAACGTTGCAACAAGTTGGACTGTTTTCATATCAGCGGACACACGAGAAGGAACTTTAGCTTTTATTTGTAGGAACTGAGAGGCTGCCCGGTCCAGCGGCCTGCTGATACTGCTCAGAGGCAGATATGCTGCCCGATGATGTCATTTCTGTCTGCTACTAAACTACTCCGTGCATTTGAGTCATGATGACAACAGTCCAGATAAAAGTCAAACACAGCAGCACAAAGGTCCAGAAGGAAAATCAATACAAAAGCCTCTTTAGGTGCTTTAGGTCGTCCTTTCCCTCAGACATCTGAGCCCATTCCTCTTTTCTCTCTTTGTTAGGGTCATCTATGTGAAAGTAACTATTGAAAGAACTTTTGGTACTTGAGCGGAGAGTTTACATCAAGGAAAAGACCAAACTCAGACTAGCACACAGGAGAGACTAGAACGCTGCTAAATGCTTAAAAAAATACAAAGCTTTTCTCCAAAGCTGAAAAGACGAACAGCTGGCAGCGACTCACCTTGAACACATTCTCCTCCCTGGGCTGATAATAAACTAACACAGGTTAACTGGAGCATCATTCATAATGGCCATACGGTCCAGTTTAAACATGTTTTCGTTTTAATTGAGTAATGATGAATTCAATGGCAGGTAGAAAATCTGAATACTGCTAGGATGAAAATCTAAATGTGCATCCTAAAATGTAAAAGCAGGAATAAAAGGTGATTGAAAAGCTCCTAGACATCTCACCTGCAGGGCAAAGTCTGATTTCCTAATTCTAAGAAGGGTGATTATGATTGTGTGTGATAAAGATGGGTTAATAATGAGGAGGAAGAGTGCCTTTTCTACATGTCTGATGCTCTGACTGGGGTTTTAACCCAAATGGGTCCAGAGATTAAATAAACACCCCCCTCAGATAAACCAGGTTGGTTTAATTAAACAAGGTGGGAGGTTAACCTGACTTTTGAACCGGATTAACGCAAAGGCAAAGTAGGCACGTGCCTAGGGCCTGATTGGCTGGATGGGGCCCAGACCATCACCATTAGAGGAACAAAATTAAAACTAAATTTAAAATAAAATGTACAAATGTCCTATGATATGACTCCTATCTACAATTTATTTCAATATTTATTAATTAACTAAAAATAGCGACAATGTTTATCTTAACCACAGTAGACCGTTTCATTGGCTAAGGCGCCACCCAATTAATGACGTCAGAGAAGCGGTCAGAGTCAGAACGGGACACAACAAAGCCAGCAGGTGTTTTTGAGTAGGCTAACTTTCACGGTGCTTTCGGGTGCGGCAAAACGTGAAAAAACAAATTAATGATGAGGAACAAAGGGATGGAGGACTCACGTCTCGTTGAGGCTGGCTGATGTCGCAGTTGGAAGGAGCGCAGCCGCGACCAGGAGCAGGCGGAGGACAGGTGCCATGGCGGCGGAGCGCGAACACACCGAACCGAACCGGACCGGACCCAGGAGCAGGAGCTGCAGACGCTTTGGACTGTGGAGTCTGGCTAGGACCGGACAAACCCGGGGCTGTCCCAAACAGAGATGGCGGTACTGCTTTATAGGACCCAGCTGGCCCCTCCGTGGGTCACTCCCCCGAACCAGCCTCCTCCCCTTCCCAAAAGCTGAATCACAACAGTCCCTGCGGCCAGCAGGCCACCTTACTAGTTTATCCACAATGCCTGTAATGTGCCTCTCTTTAACGTAAAAGGCCTGAAAAAGGTGCGGATCTGCAGGTGAGACGCCGGGGTATTCATGGTGCCCACGGAGGTCTGGTTCCACTGGTTTAGTCAAAAACAGCATTAAAAACAAGAGAGGAGCCTCAGGGGTTCGGGCGGGTCCATCAGAGGCCAGAAATGACCCTTCATGCTGACATTCCCCAACACACACACACACACACGCGTGTGTTTGATACACAAGTATGACTTTTTTGTCAGCAGGCTGTACTTTACAACCAGCTCTCCCTCCTGAGACGCTGCTGCTTTTTTACACCCTTCTAAAAAAAAGCCAAGTTTGAATCTTTCACCAGTAGCAGGATGGAGAGAGGTCACACAAAACCACTGCTGTTTAACACGCCTGGTTTAGAGACTGGCTTCAGTTGCAAAATGGCTCACGCACCTGGCTAGGACGCCTAACTGGCGAGGTTTTCCAGGTAGCCTACAGGACAGCTAAAGGGATACCCAGAAAATGGATGGATGGGTTCCTTCTCAGTGGTTTATGATGTGGCCTTCATGAGAATGTGCCTTTATTCAATTAAACTATATGTCAGACATTTAAACATGAACTCTCACGTGCAGTTTTTGTTTTTACTTATATTTCAGATAATGTTGAGATGAATCCATGTGAACATGTTAACCGGGGTGTCTTTTAGGTCTCCCGGCTGCAGCAGAGCCACCTTTACCTCCACGTAACACGATCCCGCCGCTGAGCAGCAGGTCAGTAGCTGAAGCGCAGAGATAAAGGACTCGGGTACAAGGCAGTGTGAGACTCGTCATCCTCTGGGACACAGAAAAGGGTAAACACGAGGAGAATTCCTCTCCTGCTGTTAGATCTCTTGCTTTCTCTCTCTCCGCCCCTTCATTCCTGTCAGAGGAAGGTGAATACAGATCATTAGAGAGAGAATCATTTCCACAACAGACATTAGTTGGCTTGGTCTGACTTTGCCAACAACATCTAACTCTGTGACAATAGATTCTGGATGTGTTGTGTAGAAAATTTTTATATATTTTGAGATTTATTACGATGAAAGCCTGTTTGAAGGCATCATGATGGCAACTTCTTTGTCTTTTGTCTTTGATTTCTGCTTCTAAAGAAGTCATCTAAGTTCAGAGCAGTCTTGTTACAGAAACGACGTATATTTATCTCTGTTTTGGTGCTGGATTCTGTTTGTAGGTGCATGAAGAGAGACTTGATTCTCATAATAATAACAGGACATTAACACAATTGGTTTGTCTTTACTAATCAGATTTATGCCATCTGTCCATCCGTCCATTTTTGGCTGCTTATCTGGAGTCGAGTCGTGGGGGCGGCAGCCTAAGCTGTCAGAGACTCTCTTGGTCAGCTTGCTTCTCACACCAAACCTTCTGTCAGGAATCTTGGCGTGACCTTTGACCCAGCTCTCACCCTGGATTCTCATATCAGTTCTCTTGTTCGCTCTTCCTTCTTCCATCTCAGGAACATTGCTAAGCTGAGTCCCATTCTGTCCTGCTCTGAACTTGAGACAGTTCTCCACACCTTCATCTCCTCACGCTTAGACTACTGTAACTCTCTTTTCACGTGTCTGAGTAGAACCTCCCTGAACCGTCTACAGGTGGTTCAGAATGCCTGTGCTTGGCTTCTGACCAAGTCCTCCAAACACACCCACATCACCCCGCTTCTCCTCCAGCTTCACTGGCTGCCAGTCAACTCCAGGGTTCATTTCAAGATCCTGGTTCTGGCTATAGGGCCTTACATGGACAAGCACCATCTTACATTGGTGATCTCCTCAGTCCCTACGCCCCCAGCAGGTCCCTGAGGTCCAGTGATCAAAGCCTACTGGTTGTGCAGCACCAGGCTAAAGACCAAAGGTGACAGATCATTTGCTGCTGTGGCCCCCAGACTCTGGAACTCTCTCGCCCTGAGCCTGATATCAGTGGACTCAGTGGTCTCCTTTAAAAAGCAGCTGAAGACTCACTTGTTCAAGCTGGTTTTGGTGTGACCTTCTTCACCACTCTCTCCTTTTTCTGCTCTTGTTCCACCATTCCCGGGATCCACTGATTTCCCTCTTTCGTATTCATTTTCTCTCTCCTTTCCTTGAACTTTTAATTACAATTTTTGTTTCCTCTTATTTTAAACATATTTGCAATAATATTTAGAATTTTTTTTATATTTTAATAAAAACAATTTTGTGAAGCACCTCGTGATTTTTATCTTGAGAGCTACTTAAGTAATTAAAAGATCGTTCTTAGTTATTTTTTTCTCTTCGGGCTGTGCCTGGCCGGGCTCCATGGGTTAAAGCCCTGCCACCAGGTGCTGGTCATCGTGCCCCACCTCCAGGTCTGGCTCCAGACGGGGCCCCCCAATTTATAATTGGAGCGGTCTCTACGTGCGTCCGAGCAGACCAGAGTGCCCTATTAAAGCAAGCAAGCAAGCAAGCAAGCAAGCACGCACGCACGCACGCACGCACGCACGCACGCACGCACGCACGCACGCACACACACACACACACACACACACACACACACACACACACACACACAAGCCCAATATGATGATTAGCAACCACTTCATGGCTTCCAAGAACAATTCTTACCCTCTTCTTGGTACTGGTGGAGTGGTGCGCTGCCCTCATCGTCCAGCTGCTGATCACACTGGAGTGTCTGACAACAGGGGCATGTTGGAGGGGGCTGGGAGACCACGGTGGCCTGGTCTAGTTCTTATTCTAATGTCCAGCATGCTTGGGAACAGCCTAGCTGGCACGGTGTCCTGATATCCAGCAGTAGGTTGGTATGTGCTTTGTTTCCTGATCAGAAAACCCATAGATGCTTCCTGGTGTTGCAGACATGTCCTGCTGAGAGAAGACCCCACAGCTGACCCAGGACAGGCTGCAGCAATTCATCTCTGGGCTGTTATGCTATAACGTCTTGGAGTTATTTGAAAAGCAGATAAATGATAAAAACATTTTCTAAAGTAATTAAACATATATTTATTTAAGAATTATGCTATGTAAAGGAAAATAAACATGCCAGCCAGTGTGCTTCCTGTTTACTAGCCTCTCTTACAGTTTCCAGAAAACTTAGAAGAATGTGCCTGAAGTGCTGCAGCAGGACGCAGAGGATCCTGCGAGGTCAGTTCTCCCTGAAACTCCCTTTGGCCAGCACCACACCTTGTAAATACAATTGTCACTTAAAAATCTTTTAGCGCTAATTTTAGGTTGTTAGCTAATTCATCATGCAAAGGCATCTTGTTATGTGAGATGGTTTGGTTATTTTGCTCAACATTCAACGAGACAAAAGCATTTTCCTTGAAGTCGTCAATCATCAGAGCCTGACTTCAAAACAATGCAGCTTGATTAGGATTATGATTAGGAGTGTGCAATTCTGCAGTCGTAATATTAATCCCGTACCAAGTAAAAACAGAGACATTACTGCCCATTCTGACTCCAGTAACAATACTTTTTACTTGAAATTTTAAGAAATTAAAAGAATTTTGTTAATTTAGAAAATGTAACAAAAACAGTCAGCAGCAGAACAGGCCTGGTCAGAACACCGTTCTTCCCTCAGAACCACCATAATTCTTCATTTCACTTATTCAACAAGGGTCAGAGGTTCTGGTCCATTCTGACAGGACGGCATCAACTCCATCCGTGAAGAGAACCGCCTGTTCCGTAACACATTCTCACTCCCAGCTTGTCAAAAACAAATGCTTGGTCAGCCACCCTCCGCGTCAGACCCCTGACACCAAAAGTGCCCTTTTTCGTGACTTATGTGCGAAAAGGGTTTTTTCCCTTTTCTGACTGCAGATCCCAATGCAGCGTAAAACTGACGCGATGGGATGTCAGCAGCCAGGGCACCAAACAAGCTCATGTTACCTCACCCTAACCTTATCCTCTTATTTAACCTTCCCCTCACACCTATCCTAACCTTAACCATCTTGCTAGCGAACACGTTAGTGATGTGACGGTCGCTCTAAGAGCCGGCTCTATGAAGTGAACGGCGGGAGCCGCCTCGTCATTGGTCGAGTTTGGACAGAGCCAACGCGAGGGGGAGGTTTCAACTACTAAGGTGGAGGTTAAAAGTAGAGTGTATTTGGAACCTCCCCTCGCCAGATGGTATGTTCTAACGTTCCCCTTGGGTGGCAAATACGAAAATTCAGTCAGAATGCATGGGAAACAAACGCTTGATCACAGTGAGAGTAACGATTTAGGTAGCAAGAGGGTTAAGGTTAGGATGAGGGTGAGGGGAAGGTTATAAATAGCGAAACGTTAAAGTTTAGGTGCGGTTAAATGAGCTGGTTCGGTGCCGCATCAGCGGATATCCCATCACGTCAGTTTTACGCTGCATTGGGATCTGCAGTCAGAAAAGGGAAAAACCCCTTTTCACACATAAGTGACGAAAAAGGGCACTTTTGGCGTCAGGGTCTGACGTGGAGGGTGGCTGACCAAGCGTTTGTTTTTGACGCGCTGGGAGTGAGAATGTGTTGCATTCCACAACACCCCACAGGTTCTGGACTGGAGTGGGATCTGGTGATTTTGGAGTCCAGTGAACTCATGGTGATGTTCTAGAAACCAGTTAGATGTGATCTGAGCAGTGTGACATGGTGCATGATCTTGCTGGAAGGAGCCATTAGAAGATGGGTGCATGTGGTCCTTGTCGTGTCCCGTGTCTCCCCAGTCCCAGGCACTCCTCTGCCCCAGCCCTTCATTGATATTCCCCCTAGGTTCACATGTTCTCTTTAGTACATTTCCTGTTCATTTATTTCTTCCAGCCTTTTTCCTCATGTTTTACTTTTTCCTTAATCAGTTTATCCTTATTTACACCCCCCCCCCCCCCCCGCCCCCCACATACTATCATTTTATCTGGGTCGGTTTCAGTCCTCTCATTGTGATTTTGCATCGCCTCCTTGTCATCAGCTATCATCTCACCTGTTTCCATTGTCCTTCTTTCCACTTCCCCATCTTTTAATCCCAGCTTGGACATGTCTCCCTGACTTGCTCCACCACCTGTGTTCACAAATAAAAGCTTTTGTCTTACATGCTGCCTCCTAGATCTCGACTTTTCACTGCATTTGGATCTGCAAACATGACATACAGGGATGGACATGGTCAGCAGCAACACTCAGTAAGGCTGTGATGTTTAAACCAGGCTCAGCTAGGACGAAATGGGGCAAGAACCCCCCCACCCCCACCCCCCACCCAGCAACCTGAAGAGTTGATGCAAGGCAGCATGCTTCCATGTTGGTGACTCCAAATTCTGACACACCTGCTGTATTTCATTGTGTGTCTGATAATTGCTATCAAACAAGTTTTGTGTGTATTTTGACGACTGGGAATTTTAGAGGCCCTCACAACTGCATGTTTTCTCTTTTCAGACCATCCACTTTAACTCTATCCCATATGGGACCAACAACCATGTCCTGTTCAAAGTTTCTGAAGTCTCTTTTCTCCATTTTGATTTTTGATGATCAGTTTGGACGTCAGCAGGC